TCATGGTTCCGTCTGTGTTTCGGTTTATGGAGACCAGGACAAGCCAGCACTTATAACGTATCCTGATTTGGCTTTAAATTGTAAGTTCATCATATTTTGGGTTATAATTTGAGTCCCTTTGGTTTCCTCTTATTTTTTTCACGAAAAGACTACTCTAACTGATTTATTTGGGGCCATTATCACATCAAATATAATTAACTATGACTGGAGTTTTAAAAATTCTGTGAGCTTTGAGTAATTAAAGTTGTGCCATTATGTATCAAAATTTGAACATTTATTCTTCTATTTTCTCTTCTTTTTTCTTTTTAGAAAAGAAATAATATTGAATATCTCATCCAGGGTTTTGCTTACTGGAAAGTTTATGGTTACTTTAAAACGATCTGCGCATGGAACATTAAAACACGAATGTTCTGTCGTGACTTTTATTAAAAGGTTTTGTGGATTTTTGACATAGTGTTTTTTGTGGACGAACTAACAATTTAACCTTTGCTTTATCAGATGTCTCCCTGCTTTCAGGGTTCTGTTTTTGTCCCGAAGCGTATTCCTTGCTGCTCCACAATTTCTGCATATATCATATAAGTCCTCCTGGCATGAGGTCTCTTGCTTTATGTCTTCAAGTGTTCAGTTGCTTGATATTTGTGTCCAATTCTCCACTATTATATAAATGTCTTTATTTCTGCATTTTATAAAAAAGTTATCTGGTTTCTTATCTCTCTCTCTGGTTTTTTTTTGGAGAACTATTGCAGTTGGGAGCTGCCGCAATTGATCCTACTGATCCAGTGCTTTCAGTTGATGACTTAGCTGATCAGATAGCTGAGGTTCTGAATTTTTTTGGGTGAGTGCATTTAGTCTTGACTAGTAATTGTTTTCTCTCTCTTCAGATGATTATTAAATATGCTCCTTATTTTGTGGTTTCCTTTACAATATTGATATCTGCAACATCTTCTGGAATAGATCGAAAGCAATGGTTTTTGTAACTTTTTGCAACTGTGCCGAGAGCTGATCTTTTCTTTCCTTCATCTTGGGAAGGCAACCTGACTCTCTCTCTCTCTCTACAGTCTTAGTGCAGTCATGTGTATGGGAGTAACTGCTGGGGCTTATGTCTTACCTTATTTGCTGTAAGTTATACTCTTCAGTTTTTTATTTTCGAATTGGCTTTAAGTTTCAATAATGGGATTTTTCTCTGATCCTTCTAACTCTTGATAATAGATGAAGTACAGACAACGTGTCCTTGGTTGATACTCGTTTCTCCTCTTTGTAAAGCACCATCTTGGCAGAATGGTTGTACAACGGTTCTTTTTCTAAACCTAGAAAACCATCTATATAAATATATCTTGATATTTGCTGATTTTTTTTTTTAATATTTTCAGGTGATGTCAAAGTTGCTCTACTTTTATGGCATGTGTGGAGTGGTAAAGGAGTTACTGCTGAAGCGGTATTTTAGCAAGGTACGGTTATGCTTCCAAAAGCATTATTCAGTTTTCACTGTTTTAAGTGAGTTCAAGTCACAAACTTTAAATCGGGGATGATAGGAAATTCGAGGGAGTGCTCCATTACCAGAGTCAGACATAGTTCAAGCCTGCCGAAGAGTTAGTCCTATTATTCTTTGCTCTCTCTAACCATATAAAAGCTGCTAGTTATAGAGGGCCTAAGTGATAAATGATAGCTGTAATTGAAAGCTGAAAACACTCTGATTCTTTTTAGAATTTCTTTTGACAGTCCTGGATGAGAGGCAGAGTTTGAATGTTTGGAGATTCCTGAAGCTATCAATGGGTAAGATCCACATCAAAATAGCAGCTGTCTTCCTGGTGAAAAATGACTACTGCTATCTTTGTTTTTAGTGTTGGTAACTGGGGGAGAGTGCATTTGTCTTCAAGATTTTAGCAATTCATAAGTTCACTGATCAGAAATCGAATATATTTTGTAGCATGCATGGGTGGTAATTTACTGATAATATTGCCAAATGAATATGGCCAGCATCGGTTGTAGTTCAGCAAAATCTTGAATAGGAGAATGCATGCTTATAGCTTAAAAATACACGTCCTTAAAATATCTATTGGCATCTCGCAGGAGATCCGATGTAAGTGAAGGATTGAGAAATTGCAGTGTCGATCCCCTATTTTTGTCGGTTATGTCTCCATTTTACGCTGATGCTCTCCATATGACTTCAAAGTTGGACGGTCGATTCAGTGCCTTAGTTGAGGTGTGTGAAATAATTTCATTCCATCTTAATCTATGATGAGATCGTGTGCTTGACGAAATGTGTGAGATTTGAGATTTTCCTGTGGAACTACGGGTACAAGCATGTGGTCAATGGTAACAGAGGAACAACCTCATGCTATGTTAATACCAATAGAGTACTTTCTCATGGGATATGGTTTGTACAGGCCATCCAAGCCAATGTCAGTCCAAGAAGTCCCTTGAGTCCATCATGGATTTCTCCCGAGCTTTATTCACCGGAGAGTAGGGGTCTGAAATTGAAACCCATAAAACACGAATTTCTGTGGAAATCTAGAAGTAGGTGAATGAGCTTGCCGATTCGCTGCTCTTTCTCGTGTTTGTTGTATGAGTTTGTGTAATTCTGTGGCTGGTTAGAGAGCTGGGTGTATTATGTGGATGCAGAGTATTGTAGATAGGGGGAGTTAAAAATCGAAGCAAGAGACTTGGGAAGAGCTTAGTAAAAAGCAGATAAGCCATTCTTTCATTTGTAACCATACGTTTAGTTTACAGGTCTGAATAGGTGGGGGTTTAAGCTTTGGATTATTGTTTCTGATAAATAAAAATATTGAAGTTCTGATTTTACAATTGTAAAGCAAACATGGAGAGCACTGTAATTCCTGTGCTATTTTGTTGTCTTGTCACCCGCGGATCATATTGATGGAATTTCAGTGTCGGCACGCAATTTCTTTATTCTTTTTTAATATGCCTATTGTCGCCATCTTTAGTTGCTATCTGACGTTTGAACGAACACATTATTTGATTCGATGTGGACGCCACAAGAGCAAGACAAATCAAGGAGACAAGGACTTGGTAGACAATAGAAAATCTCAATATGTCGAATCAAGCTATTTACGAAGATTTATTTAGCAAGATATTCCATTTTCAATTGCCAATGTTTCGTCCACAGATAAGAAACTGCCAAGGCGAAACTCGTCCTCGCTTGGGGAGGATGAAAATGTACCGATGGGAAATACATGAAATCGCACGGGCCAGCACTTGAGACTCCCTTAACGATTTCTCCAGCCGTTTGTGAAAAGCTCAAATTTACTTCTCAAATCCTAATATTAAAAAATAAATCAAGGATGTACTAAATTTATATATTATGTATTTAATGTCATGAAAAAGAAGACATCTACTTGTCAAAATTCAAGGATGGGATAGAAAATTTATATTCTATATAAGAAATTTAACGGATAGTCGAGTTTCCCCTTTGAGGAGCTTTATGGAACCATGAATATGAAACTTCTTTTTTTTGGCCAGAGTAGAAACATGAATACAAAACCATGTCTTCAGGGCAAACGAGTTTCCGAATTTCAAGGAGGTCGAGAAAGCGTAATTAACCCCAGACGAGAATAGATTGACCAAAGAAAGAAAGAGTTAAACCAAAATAAGCAATTATGAATGTAGTGCTATTTACTGATATTCCTTTCTGTTTGATACAGGTCTTGGACAACCATGAGTGGAAGTCTACTTTTCAAAAAAGACTCTGCAACTGCATCCCGCCCCACTACACAGAGCATCATGCACAGCTCCTGTGTCGAAAAAAGGCCACTTTCTTCATATTGTTATGCGACTTTCTTTACTTTGAATTGGTAGTAAATCTTTGATTGCCCAGGCGTACCCTGCTGCTTCTGTGGCTGCTCTGCGTGCCCTCTTCATTTCGAAGAGCCTTTCTTCTGTTCATTTCAGCGTGCATTTCCTCAATCAAAGGTTTCCACAGCCTCACACGAGCATTAATGAACCAGTTTGATACCTTGTCATCATCCACCCAAATATATTAGGATTCAGATCATAAAAGTTTCCAAACAGCTTAAACCACTAAATGGGAGTTTCAGTCCTGCGAGACGTGTACCTGGCTTCTCGTCAGTCCACTTTTTACTGCAAGTAACTGCTTCTCTGCATCTTTTGGATACCTGAAATTTATCACATTAAATTCAAAACAGCACAGCCTCCATATGCAATGTGACCATTAGAGATAGGTGATAAACAAGAAAACTCACGGATGGAGGAAATTCTGAAACATCCAGGCTCGTAGGACAGAGACAGATCGTTCTGGCAAGCCCCTTTGGGGCCTCCATAACTGATGCCCTTTTCTTTTCAATTGCTGCAGGGCCCAGTGCTTTTCGATGAATAAAGCTTCCGTAGACCTTTCCTTCTCTTCTTCTGAGCGGGAGTTGTTAAATCTTTCTCCCATGGAAAGGATATAATTGCTTATCCTCTCGCGCAAATCCTTGTACAGCACAGAGATTGTCTTAAGGGCAAAATGAGTATGAACTTGCGGGTCCAACTCTGTAGCAGCATGAAATGCGGATACAACAGTATGTATCTCATCCAAACACTGATTATATCGACTGTCCACCTGTGTTAAAAACAAGCATAATTATTATTCTGTGAATTTTGATTCTGGAAATAGGAAAGTCAAGAATCAAGATCGAATGATGTAACCGTAGAATGTACCATCTTACCAGCTGTAGAAGTGTCAGAAGCCGGGATTTCTTTGATTCAGCAGCATCGTGTCTTGCAAATGAAGAATTTGCTTGAGCTTCAAACATAGAATCTGCATTGTGATTTGTTGTCTCTGTCATGCTCCTGAATGGAGGAGCTGAGGTTGATATATTCCCTTCTGCTCTGGCTCTACTGCAACCAGCTGAACAATTTATCTGTTCTATATTTTCAAGTGAATACCTTGCAATTTGAGCAAGTATTTCTTGAATCCCAGCAAGATATGCGGACCCCAATATTGCTTGCGAAAAATTCACACGTCTATTGGAACCCAAACTCCTAGAAACCCCCTTACTGCTACAGGAGGCTTGTTCCAAGCTATCAGAACTCACCTCTGAGCACTGACCTGTGGTGGGAGAGGTCGCTAGACTTAATGAGAGCTCATTCCTGAAATTTGGGTAATCATAACCCTGATGGGTCAAGTTTGCAGCATTTGAAGATGTCCATCCGTTTGGATCCAGGTTCGCTGCGGACGAATAGGTCAGGAACCTAGTATCATACCCACGATCTCCAGAAGTTGGAAGCAAAGTGTCTGAATTATCCTGCCAGTTGCTCAACATATATGGTGCCAATGCCTCCAATGAACAGACTGAAGGAGTCAAAGCTGCTGATTTTTCTAGGCTCTCTTCAAGACCAAATCTTGCAGCAGGAGTGGCAGCTGGGGAAGCAGGAGAGATTGTGCCTCCAGCTCGTTGATCTTGAAACACACTGTTGTTTCGGGGACATGGGTTTCCAAGTGAGGCATCAGCTACAATGTTCTTCCCTTGGGATGGAACCAAGGAATTAGGATGAGCAATGCAGGCAGGATTCATTAGAGGAACATCCAATTGGAGACTACTTATGAGTTCACCTTGCATTCCAGCGAGCATTGAAATTCCATTCATGATGCGGGTTTGGTCAAATGAATAGCCCTGAATGAGTGCATTTGGTGTTTCATCTAAGACAGCGTAACTTCGGCCAGCCGTATCCATTGGAGCACCAAACATATCATTCTCCATCACTCTGTTTGAATTCTAAGGAGTGTTTTCTTTACTCTCTCCTAGAAAATGCATGCTAGCTTACTATAACAATGTATCAAATCCCATCAACGCTATAAAATGAGAAATAACTTCAGCGTCCAAAATCAACAGAACATCTTTTCAAAGTTCCATGTTGGAAATAAAATGAAACACGAAAGGTGGAAAATTGATGAAAGACTGGGTTGAGACGACTATCAACGAGAGGAAAGGAAGGAGTACGTGGTCAAAAGGACGCACGTGAGAACAAGTTCACAACCTACCTTCCCCTAAGCCAGGCAAACCCAAGCCTTGCAAATATTTCACAGCTGATTGCCAGCATATGCAGTTGTCCAGAGAGAACCTATTAACAAAACATGAAAAAAAGAAATTAGAAAAGTCTGGTTTTTTAGTAACAAGGTTGTCAAATTCATCCCTCTGGTTTTTTAGTAACAAGGTTGTCAAATTCATCCCCCGAAAAAGTTTTAATAGCTATAACCAAAAAAGCAGCAGCAAAGAACTAAGCTATTTGTTTTGAAACAAGAGAGGAAACCAACCACAAGTAAACATGTTAAACCAAGAAGGCCAATACCACAAGTGCGTTGGTTGGTTTCTTTGCATGCTTTTCATTCCCCTCAAGAAGCCAAGACCCAAAAAACAAGGATCTTATTTTCGGACCCCATTAAACCCAGAGCACGTACTGATCTAGCTACAAAAAAGACTATTCTAAATGCAATGGGAAGAAGGGTGTTTGTTTGTTCAATTAAAGGGCCGAGGGAGAAAGAGAGAAAAGGTACTACGAATAGAGACAGAGAGATAGAGACAAACAAGGGCAATGGAAGAGGTAATAATAAAAGAAAGAAACAAGAAGGGAAGGAGAGTGGGGGGAAGGAGAAAACACAACGCCCTGTGGTGCAAGGCCACTCATTTGTGTTGCAGGCTTTACTGGGCCATCTCTCTCATGTCTTTTGTCCTCCATCACCACCTCCTATTATCTGCTGCTCTGCAATCATCGCAATCAAAATATCTGGATTCTCTCTGTTGCAACTTCTGTTTGTGGCAGGGGCTCCCAGAAACATTTTTCAGACAAAGCCCCTTGCTTTTGTAGCCTGTTTTTGAAAATACAATAAGGTAGTGTGATGAGAAAGATGAGTGAATGGGGTTAAAATGTCCAGTGCTTTTTCTTCAGGGCGTAACAACTAAAAGCGCAAGGCAATTGATATGTGAAAGGAGAGATAAAAGGCAAACACTCTCAGTGTACTTTTCTCGGGAGTGGCCAAACACAGAGGGATCAAGACGCTGACGTAAGCAAAGCTAAAAAATGACGACAAAATTTTTGGAAGGAAAGATATTTAAAAAATTAAATAAGTTAATTATTTATAACAAATATATCTTAATTTTATTAAACATCTTATTTAATTATGTATATTAAAACTATTTTTTAATAAGAATATTTTGGACAAAATATTATAATTTGAGAGAAAAAGATTATTAAAGTACTGTATTTAAGATTAAATTTAAATCCAAGTAGTTCTTATATTAGAAATGGAAGGCAATAACTAATTAAAGTATTTGTTTTGATTTTAAATATAATATCTGAATTTATTTTATTTTTTAAATTTATGAATTTTTTTCTAAAGCACTTCTGAGACATAGTATAAAGGGAAAAAGACAGAAAAATGTTACTTAAACTTCATAATTCTCAAATGGTATGTTAAATTTGAAAAATGCCACTTTTTGATTTTTTTTGAAAAATCTGTTGTTAATCGCTATACTGAAATTGTTAATAAGATTATAAAAGTTATTAACCGTTATACTGAAGTTGTAAAAATTTTCAAAAAAATTGTTTTCCTCCGCCGGAGCTCCGGCAACCAATTGTTGAATTTTTCAAAAAATCTGTTGTTAACTGATATAATAAAGGTGTTAATAGCATTGCAAAAGTTGTTAATGGTTATATTGAAGTTGTAAAAATTTTCAAAAAAATTGTTTCCGGTCACCGGAATTTATTGAATTTTCTAGAAAACCTGTTGTTAATTGCTATACTGAAATTGTTAATAGCATTACAAAAGTTGTTAACCATTATATTAAAATTGTAAAAATTTTCAAAACAAAATTTTCCGACCGACGGAGCTCCTGTGACCGGCCGGCCAGTAGGGGTTGTGATATTTTAAAAATAATATTTAAAATAAAGGGCAATTTGGTTTTTTCTTTTCACATAATAATCTCAATTTGAGACCAAATTAGGATTTTTCAAATTTAACATACCATTTGGAGATTATAAAGTTTAAGTAGTATTTTTCTGTCTTTTTTCTCGATATAAAAGGAGTTTTGTCAAGAATAATTAAATAAAGTGTTGTAGAAAAATTAATATAAATTAATTATAAATAATTAATTTAACTAATTTTTTTATTATTTATAAATCAACCATGTGTCTGTTATATTTAAGATGTGATGGGGGGTTTTGAATTTTGATGGCAGGCTACAGAACCTACGCCTGCTCTGTTTGCCGTATGATCCGATCGGGTGGTGTGGCTAAGTAATGTGATGTGTATAGTGGTTAAGTACGATGGCTCCATCTCTCTTCCCAATCCTCAGTGTGGAAACAGAAGCATCAGGTTCTGTTCATATCCTGGCGTCATCTTTCAGCTTTCAACCGTCATGTATAGTCTTTCCCGTGAGATCTCATTAAAACTTTTCCCCGCCTTTTTAATGGCCAGAGAGATCTTGCTAGAGCTTTAGATGCCTTTTTTAACCGGAAAACTGGTATTTTAAAAAATCGGCTGGTCATGTTTTTTTACTTTTGATGAACAAGTTTGATTGAGAATATATTCAGTGCATCTGAGTTTATTCTTTTTTTTTTTTTTGGTTACCACATTTGAGTTTATTCTTAAATAAAATATGAGTAGATTGAATTTCATTAAAAAAAATAGTTGAATGATGCTTGGTAAAGGAAGGAGACAAAATCTCTCAAAACATCAATTTAATGATTACTAAATTATAAGTTGTAAATCTTTCGTGCTTTTGTACCTTCTCTTTTTTTTTTGCTTTACTTGAGTTAATGGTATTCAGTTTCTACTTAAAAAAAAAAAAGGTCTGCAAGCACGAGGTTTCATTAAAACTTAAATATCTTATCTTTAATTGATGCTTCTAGATTTATAATTATCTGAATTAGTATTTGTAGATTACTTTTTCAGAAAAATCTTATGGGGGCCTAACTCTTTTTTGTTGAAAGAAAACTCAGTTATGTCACTTACCAATAATTTCTAAATTCAAATGGCATTCCACACCTTTTCAAATGGGCTTTATATCCATAAAGATCAAACGGAGCGGTTTTGTGTGTGAAGGGCGGGCAAACGGGTCCCACCTCTCCTTCGGCGGAGGGGGCTTTCAATCATCGAAGTCAAAGGGGGAAAAAAAAGAAAGAAAGAAAACTCAGAAACTTTCTTAAAATTTGCTCAGTTGGTATAAGTAGGCAGAAATTAGGAGCTGGTTCAAAATTCGAACCTTCCATGTATAAGAAAAACTGAGCTAGTTTAGTAATTAAATTTAACATCGAATATCAAGTTTTGAACTTCTAAAAAAATACTACTTCTGGTTTTAATTATAAGAGTTAGTTGACTAATTTGAAAAGATTAAAAAAAGAAATTAAGTTAGTTATTTGTAATAAATATATGTTATATTTCTTAAAATATCCTTACTGATTAAGTGTATTGGCTATAATTACCATTATTATGAGGACTATCTTAAAAAAATACATAAATATGAGAGATAAAGTGAATTCAGATCTTGTATTTAGGACCAAAATAAAAATCAAATAAGATCTTATATTAAGGACTGAGAGTAGTAATATATATATATTTTTAAAAATAATTATTTTAATTAACTTATTGAATATGTGTGAATTAGAAGTTGAGTACGGTAGTACAGACAGCACATGACTTTTGTGGGCAATAATTATGCCTGAATATTGGTGCACAAATTATATTATTGAATTGGATTCAAAATACTGACAAGTAAATAAATTTAATTTTTATACCTGATTTAAATGCTAGAGTTTCTTTCCCCAAAATGGCCTACAGGAGGGGCGTATTGAGTTTGGACTTTTTATGGTCTGGTGAACTACTTTGATGTTAACTGGATCCCCGGACCCCATCAAATGATACAAGCCAATCTTATTTATTAGCCCTCATTCTTAATATAAAAATTATTTTAATTTTTAATTTAAAACTATAATTTATTTTTTTTTAAATTTATTCATTTTTAAAGTAATTCTTATAATAATTGTATATGTGAAAAATTCTATCGAATAGCAGTTTTAACTAATACACATAATTGAAAAAGTATTATAGAAAAAATAACATCTATTTATTATAAATAATTAATTTAACTAATTTTTTTAAATCTTTCTAAATTGGTCAACTAAGTCTTATATCAAGAACAAGAAGTAGTATTCAAGGGTATGGATCTTTCTTTATGGTATTGGACTAACAAGCCATCATCTAGAGCCACGTGTCAGAGTAGTGCCCATCGCTCTTAAATTTCAAGCCTGATTCCTCCGCTGTCTTGTGGGCCTTGCTTTTGGAGAAACGGTTTATGGTTGGCTTTGAGCCCAACCAATGTGGGTCATACGGCCCTTTTCAGCTCGGTTCGGATCAAAAGAGCATCCTAATGCCTAGAATCTCGAGTGGCCCATTCACTGGTGGTTAATGTGAATACATCACACAGTGATCTCTGCCTGTGAAGCATCTGTGAAGGAGTGTGTTAAATTGCAAGCCGCAATATGTGTCTGAGAGAGAGAGAGAGGAGTGTTTCAGATTCACATGTTTGTTCACAAGATTGTTCACTTTTGTTGAGCTCGCCTTTGATTTCAGGGTCGACATTTCGGCCGTACCAACAGGTTTTTGATCCCACTGATCTCCCCAGACTCCAGCACCACCACTCGCTGTGTTTGGGATCACAGTCCGCCGGAAGGTGGACAGCCACCCATGCTACCTCCAATTTTTCTTCATTTAACATCTATCTCTTTTCTCAATTTGTCTTCATTTGATCATTTATACTACTTTTAACTGAACACATCATTTTTCTTAGCTCATTGACATTCAATCTTCGTATCAAAATTATAAACTCTCTCTGTTCTAACTTCCTCGAAAGATTGAAGTCCAATCTAAATCGTCACTTGTATTTCCAAACTACTTCTCCATATTTGAGTACACGGAGGCACGAACTTCCCACCATGAAAACCCAGGTGCAGCCTTTGTCGTTATTTAATTTATGCGCATGCCCCTTAGTCCACATGTTTCTCTTTCTTCGCCTCTCAAGTATTTAATATTCATATGTGAATTAATTTCTAGCTGTGCAGAGGGCGGACTGCGAATTCAAAGCTGGCCCTGGTCCCCCCCCCCCCCCCCCAAACAAAAGACGGAGAAGAAGACGACTGTTAAAGAAATGCTTCCTGCAGAGATGGGGAAGCCTGCATTATATAGCTTTTTAGGACCCATTCCACTGTAAGGAACTTCAATCAATATAATAACCTATGCTTATTATTCTTGGTTAGATAAACATCAACCAATTATCTATTGAATTAAAAAAACGAAAAGAAGTCGTGGCCACTAAGTTATTTTATAAAAATCGTGAAGCCCAGGACGACGAACTGGAGTTGTCCCCGCAAACTAATCACCTAATTTAATAAAATTTACAAATTATATTAATACTAAGTGTCTAACCGAACTCCTATAATCTATATATAACATGTAATTATATTATCCTGGGGAAAGAAAAATGAACAGGAAATTGCAGCTGCAATCATTACGGGCCCCCGATGAGGTCAAGCACGATGACCGATGGATCAGATTGCACTGTCTAATCTTGAGGAAGCGGTGTGGCCATGGCCACGATCCCAAGTTTCTGCAGGTTGAGCTTTACCACTGTGTCCACAAACATCTTTGTATCTTCTCCGGTATTTCCCTCCGGTATGTCCACGACATACGACTCCAACACGATCGTATATACCTTCCCCTCCTTCTCGAACTCATTCACCGACGTGACGGACCGGTAATTCCTGAGCCGATGCTCGCCGCCGACAACCCTAAAGCTGAGTATGTGCTTGCTGTCGTCCAAAATCTCCAGCCTTTCGGTGCTCGTCGACGCCGGAAGGCCGGAGACCACGGTGACCTCTCGGATGCTGCCAACGCCGCCGTCGCCCTGCATGTTGCAGCTCTTGATGAAGTGCTTGTACTTCTGAGGATTCTCGAAGCTCCGAACCAGAGGCCAGACTCGGCAGGCAGGACCCTCGATTCGTTGGGTTATAATGGAAGTGCATGTGTTGGGAGAAGGCTCGAATATGTGGTATTTTTGGATGATGGGTTCAAGCTCTGCGAATTCTTCTGGTGTTAGACCCTGAGGGCGAGCTTCCGATGATGCCATGGATGACTCTGGCCCGCGTGGAGTTCAAGCATGCAGAAGAAGAAGAAGAAGAAGGAACTGAGGAGGAAGAGAAAGGAGAAGAACGATCATACGGACGCATCGCATGAGCAAGTGTGTGAATTTATCTTTGGGCATATGCGTATGTTTCGTTTTGGACCCATATGCCCTGGACGTTTCTGTTTCATTAACGCCACCGAGGACCAAGTTTGTCTGTCCTTTAATCAGCTTTTAGCAATTTATTATGAACCATTGGGCCATTCGCTCTTGCTATTTGAGGAAAATCCGGCTCTTGACAACTAACACACCATTTTAAATAATTTATTTTTCTTACAAGCCATCATCATCGTATACTCAAACTAAACTACATTAAAATTTTGACTAGCCTAAATGATTTTCTATACTGATAATCACACATTCTCAAACTTGATAGACATGAGATTTGAAGTGAAAATACGTGCCAATATTGCATTTTGCAGCATATAACCTTTTTCTTGTGTGAAATAAGCGCAGAGCTGCCTTTGTCTTTCTTCCAGTTTGAGAAAGGGCAGATTCGCTGGGATGGATTATATAAAAGATAAGCGGAAGGCCATTCTTTTGAGGCCGCATTTCTTTTCTAATTAATTTATTTTTGAGCAATAATTTGAACTGAGCGAACACCGGAAGTGCACCAGTATGTTGTTTACTTTAATTTCTTTTCAACAATTTGTCTTGGCTCACTAATTCCCTGTTTAGAAAGGCCATTGATATGGGGAAAAGCAGAAGGGACAAATTCGTTGTTTCTAATAATTAGTCTCTCAGCTCTGATTAAAAAGGAAAAGGATTCTTAATATTCTTCACATGCATAAGTGTTGGTGCATAACCAGAACGTGGATTTAGCTTTTTCCCCCCTCAACACCAATATAAATAATCACATGAGAGAGAGAGAGAAGAAAATGGATGTGGCATTTCCAATGCGCTTCAGTTGGTAGATCTTTATGGGATGCACCAGTATATTTATATATAAATAGAAGGAAGGAGAGGTGGACCAAGATTAAAAGTGTGATGATATATACAGGATGTGATGGGCTGCTGCTGCTAACACCATACTAAACATATTGTGATTATGATGAATCGAGGAGTGGGATAAGGATGGAAAAAGGGAGAAAGGGAGGGGGCGGAAGGGGAGAAGAGGAGTCGCAATCGTTGAAAAGGGGATGAATGTGGGCGGATCATGTGAGCAGCCCCGAAGCAACCCCCTCTTCGCGTGATCCATACTTCACTTTGCAGGATTATCCTCCCCCACTTCACGTGGACCCCACCAAACCCCCCGTGGGACCTGCACATATTTCCCCACGCACATTTTTGTAACTGGAGAGATTCATAATAATAATAAGATAATTAATAAGAGTGGTATTTAGGAGCAGTGTTGCTTCCACACAAAGTTTCGCGAGGCGACAGAAAATGTCCAGCTTGCATGTATGGCTGTATCTGGATACCGCAGCAACCCAACCTCTGTCACTTTTCATACTTTCTCTTCCTCCCCCCCCCCCCCACAAAAAAAAAAAACCTCCTGGCTGCCGCCTTTAATTGTTTCAAAGCAACATCTTGTTTTCCCCCCAGATTTCTCTGACATGCCTCTGCGTGTGCGTGCGTGTGTTTGCTGGATGGCCTTCGTTTCTTGCTCCTTCAACGACCAAACGGTATTAAAATATTACTGGCATTATCTATCACTATCAGTTCGTGGAGATATAGAGAGCACCGGTTTGGAAAAATTGAAGTGAAAGGCAGTTTGAGAATGAGAATCAGAGAGGAAATTATTAGTCCAGAAATCCTTGAGATGTGAAAGAGCACGAGGTAGGTTGGTGTTTGGGCAGAGAACCTCAACTTCAATGTTTGCAGTTCAGAGGTTTGAATTTATAGTGGAGGAGAAAATAAAAGCAGAACATGTATGGGCGGGGGAACATGCACCTCGAACTTGTAAATCTCAACCTTCGCTGCTTCCAATCAACGTCCCACCTACTCTTCCTTTCGGTTTTCACATGCCTCTCTGCCGTTTTTCCTATTTCCCAACACCTGATAACCAAATTATCAACACTTGGCCATATTTAATAATAGTATTATAGTACACACTCTTTTTTGAATTGACACTATACTACTTGGTTCATTCGAATTGACTCCATCGATTCGCATCGTAATGTGATCAGCTGCATAACGGGCACTTCCAGCGCTCGGGAATCGGTTTTCAATCAAATTTTGACTTCCATCACAGCATCAATGTACTACTCCCTCTAATTCATATTATAGGAGCTATTCCATACCAAAAAAATGGGAAAATGACAATAAAATACCACTTGAATTCTAAAAGGACAAATAAGGGACCTGAATAAGCAAAATGACAAGGAGGTCACTGGGAACCAATCTGGAATTAATATTTTCGGCCAAAAGACAAAAACGCCCTGATGAATGCGTGAAGACCGAAAGCTGAAAGTGAGAGAAAGGAGAGAGGAAGACCGACGCAGTGAGAGAAAGGAGAGAGGAAGACCGACGCTGATGAAATGCGGGAAGAAGGAAAGAAGAATGTTGGAAATGCTATTATCTTACTCCTTCGCATCACCATTCTGTAGAGATTGTTGATTTTGGTTGTGGGAAAGAGGATTTGTAGTGAGAGAGGGAGTGAACCGAAGCGGAAATCAGCAAGCAATTACGTAACGTAACTGCTGTGATATGCCTGCTGGTTTTTGGTAAATCCCATTACGTGAATGGTAAATTTCACTATACATGTAGTTAATTATGAATTTTACAAAATACATATTGTGATTTATAACTTTCGTAGTGAAAGTGACTACTTTGTTAATGGGTTTTGCAACCTGTTTTCAGGAGATAAACAACTTGTTTGTAAAAACTAATAAAATTTCACGCTAAATTTGACAAAACGTATTGTGGGATTTACAACTTCCGTAGTAAAAATGACCACTTATTCAATGGGTTTTGTAACTTGTTTTCAGGGATGGGCAGCTTGTTTCTAAAAACTAATAAAATTTCCTACTAAATTTGACAAAACACATAGTGAGATTTACAACTTTCGTAGTGAAAATTACTACTTCTTAAATGAGTTTTGCAACCTCTTTTCAAGGAATTGGCAACTTGTTTCTAAAAACCAATAAAATTCCATGCTGAATTTTACAAAACATAGAGTGATATTTATAACTTTTGTAGTGAAAATTACCACTTCTTAAATGAGTTTTGCAACCTCTTTTCAGGGGATGAGCAACTTGTTTCTAAAAACCAATAAAATTCCATGCTAAATTTTACAAAACACACAGTGATATTTACAACTTTTGTAGTGAAAATTACCACTTCTTAAATGAGTTTTGCAACCTCTTTTCAGGGGATGAGCAACTTGTTTCTAAAAATCAATAAAATTTGATGCTGAATTTTACAAAACACACAGTGATATTTACAACTTTTATAGTGAAAATGACCACTTCTTAAATGAGTTTTGCAACCTCTTTTCAGGGGATGAGCAACTTGTTTCTAAAAATCAATAAAATTTGACGCTGAATTTTACAAAATACACAGTGATATTTACAACTTTTATAGTGAAAATGACCACTTCTTAAATGGCTTTTGCAACCAGTTAATTCAACGTGACTACAAAAGTTGTCACTTTTATTAGTTTTTACAAACAAGTTGTTTATCTCCTGAAAACAGGTTGCAAAACCCATTAACAAAGTAGTCACTTTCACTACAAAAGTTGTAAATCACAATATGTATTTTGTAAAATTCATAATTAACTACATGTATAGTGAAATTTACCATTCACGTAATGGGATTTACCAAAAACCAGCAGGCATATCACAGCAGTTACGTTACGTAATTGCTTGCTGATTTCCGCTTCGGTTCACTCCCTCTCTCACTACAAATCCTCTTTCCCACAACCAAAATCAACAATCTCTACAGAATGGTGATGCGAAGGAGTAAGATAATAGCATTTCCAACATTCTTCTTTCCTTCTTCCCGCATTTCATCAGCGTCGGTCTTCCTCTCTCCTTTCTCTCACTGCGTCGGTCTTCCTCTCTCCTTTCTCTCACTTTCAGCTTTCGGTCTTCCCGCATTCATCAGGGCGTTTTGGTCTTTTGGCCGAAAATATGAATTCCAGATTGGTACCCAGTGCCTTATTTGTCATTTTGCTTATTCAGGTCCCTTATTTGTCCTTTTAGAATTCAAGTGGTATTTTATTGTCATTTTCCCCAAAAAAATTCTAGCTTTTTTTATATAAGATTTTTTATCATTTTAATAAGATTAAGTCTGTTTTCGTCTATTCATATTTAATGAGGGTAATAAGAAAATATAAATGAACACATGATCAAAAAATTTAATATAGTTGATGAGGACAATATTAAAAATCAAATTTTATGACAAATTTTCATGCTTTTAACTGTTCTTATTAATATGTGAGAATTAGTTGATGAATTCTTATAACAAGTATAAAATAAAGTATTAAAAAAATATCGAGGAAAAAAAATACCTATACAATTGTGGAAGGAATATTTGATCACGTTGCTCCTATTGGCTATCTCCCATTTGAGGGTTGTTTGGTAACATGAAGAAGTGTTTTTGAAAAGCATTTTTTTTTGTAAAACGAGATAACTCCTTCATATATTTATTTTGTATATCACACAAATATTTTTAAAATTATAATTTAGTTTCTATCTAAATATCACCTGATGTTGATGAAGACGTGGGCTAGCTTTTGCCACTTTATACCGTACCTGTTTTCTTGTTGCTGTTTCGAATGTTGTTGCCTGGCAGGCCCGGTTTATACTTCTTGTATTGCTGGGTTCTTTTGGTTAAATCCCATAACATTTAAATCTAACATCTTAATATAGGACATCATATTATTACATAAAAACATAATACTGTCTTGGTCCTTTGCTATAAAAGCTAGTTGATTAATTTGAATAGAATAAAAAAATTAATTAAGTTAATTGTTTGTAATAAATAGATGTTATCTTCTTTAAAATATCAAGTATATTAGCTATGACTAACATTTAATGACTATTTTTAAAAAAATAGATAAATATGAAGGACAAAATGTACTGAAATATTATATTTAGGATCAAAATAAAAGTCAAACTAGCTCTTACATTAGA